GCACTTTTTTGGGAAAAGCATGGACCATAGTGACATGAAACTTTGTCAAACACATTGAGAGAGCTGAAATTAATGTAAGTTCCAATAAAAACTGGAAATAGTTGAGAGATATGACCAAATTAAAAAAAAGTGGTACTCCAGAATGGGCGATAATAGGGTTAACCCAACTAATTGTTATAACATGCGTATTCCCATACAAACGATCTGTCTTCCAGAGAAAACTAAGATTTGTGGACATGTTTTGCTATCATGGCATCATACCCCAGTATGTCCTCTGTCAGTCAAAAAAGTTTGAATCAAAACTCCCCACGAAAATCAAAAGATCTCACCTGTTGAAGACGCCATCTATAGAAAATGTCAAAAAATGTCATTCTGATTTTGACAGATGGAGGCAGGTCAAAAAGGTCAAATTTTTTAAAGAAAATGCACCTTAATCACATCAAATCATGTCTCAGAGTTGGTCCACACATACACTTTTTCATTCATGTACTTACCAAAATCCAACCACTGGTGATGCTAATGTAATTACAATAATTGGACTATATTTTTGTTTTTATAATGCCATCTATTCGTCTTCCCACTCGGCGGAAGGATCTAATGGTTGTGTGTCTCCGTAAGGGTACAACAATATTGAATTTCGGCCAGTCAGTATGCCATAATGATTGCTCCCAAAAATAGCACGTGCTAGGAGCGCTCTGATTGGTTGGATTTACAGCACGGGTTAGGAGCGTCTATTGTTTGGATTTCGAACCTCAAACCCGGGTTCAATAGAAATTCAAACACGTGCTACACATCTTAGCACGTGCTACACATCTTAGCACGTATGGCACGGGTGCAATGTGTATTCGGCATGGAGTGCTTCTGGGTTTAGATGAAGAGGTTGTGATTGGTTTTCCTAATTTGTAGACATAAGCTAAAGCACAAAGTTTAGTCAAGTTGCATGAGGGCATCTTTAATCATGAGTCTATTCGCATCTACAAAAAGGAAATAGATCTGTTTTTATAATAATGTTTGTACATGATTCAAGTGATCTTTGTGCAACACTACTTGCATAAGTAATGATTAAAAGATAAAGACCATACTTGGTGAAAATGTGAAATGGGGGCATGACATTAATTCTAGTCTTGAAAAAATCGTCAAGCAGATTTATGAATAAATTCTAGAACATGACGTATTGCATCGAAACCTTCTGTACCCAGCAACTATTCTCATCTTAGATACGCAAGGTCTCTGCGTGATTATTATGCGTTTATACTTTTAGTTCGCACGTGCAACGGAATCAGATTTCTTCAACATGGGTCAATATTTCCAAATAAAGAGACGGTCGCATGCGGAACATCAGTCACAATACAATGTAATAGAGGGTATGTCATAAAAGGAGAAAACAGACGATCAAAAGAGATACACTGCGAGACTAATGGATGGAACCCTAGAGAGATACCTATCTGCATACCTGACCGTAGCCAGGCATGAACCAGGCGAGGCGCAAACAGTTCTCAAAAAATGTCACATACAAAATAAATGGGCGTAGCAGCTAGGCATGAGGCAAAAACATAATTTAGGAAATCTACTTTTTGAATATAAACATGAAATGAAATCAAATAAATTGCCTTGATTAATATGAACATAAACACAATAATGTCAATGTCGATAACAATGCAAGATTTGTCTGATTGCTATAAACTAAAAAGAAATTCTATACTAGTAACAAAGACAAATAAATATTTTGATGCATCAAAGAAACTACAATTTATTGGCTAGATTGATGATGTCGTCGGTTGTAGGTACACTCCCCTCCAAATGTTTGGCAACCTTAGCTCCTTCATTGAACTACTTGTTAAAGCCTCTTTATGTTTGAATTTTATAATACTGATGAAAATGTAACTTTTCCAATGCCTCAAAATTTTTAAAATTTTTCCCTCAACCACAATAGTTCGAAAATTGATGATTTTGATGAATTTTTGATTTGTCTCCCCAATATAAAAGCTGTGGTAAGCTTTAATGTCATCTATAGATCTATATCTGCCAAAACTACCAATTGCAGTCAGACTTAAGGAACATAAAGGCGCATTAACATTAGGCAGAGAATTGACATCTGCTTTAACATACGTACAATACGGGCCATGCTATAGACTGAGAGGAGTATACGATTTTAGGGAGTGAAAGTAAGGACTTCGCAAGGAAAGTGAAAGAGGCCATCAAAATTAACATTCTAAAACTGAATTTGAACATGGATCAGGGCTTTAAGATTTTCCAGAAGTAAACGATGGTACTGAAGTTGTGTCCCGAAAGCTAAAAAGTTGTGTCTCGAAAGCTCCAAACAAATAATACAGGTTAGTTTTGAGGAATTCTTCATTGGATTAATATAGTCTGTATTGATAATTAAGTGTGCAAGAACATCTGCTATGTGGGCGAAGTAATTCATTAAAGGGTGTTCCAGTGGCTCCGCAGATAACATGACGAGGACCCGCTGAAAACATGAAGAGATTTCAAAGGAATCGGTGACGAGATCAGAGCATCTTTGTATATAATCGTGCATAAACGACCCAATAATGTATATATAATCACTGTAAGTATCATTCTAGGGCAATACTGTCCATCTTTCTTCAACCAATCTTCAATGTCAGACAGATCTATCCATCTGTCAGCGTTATGATAAAGATTCCTTAATGTATCTGTAAAAGACTGCACATTTTGGAGTTTACTGCCTATTCTAAACATTTCAATTACTTACTGAGAAAACAAACACTTTGTCAATTCATTCGTCTGTTCGTTCGTTCGTTCGTTCATCCGTCCGTTCGCTCGCTCGTTCGTCCATCCGTTTGTCTATTCGTTCGTTCGTAGGTTTTCCTCAAAATAAGTCTTTCCACTTGTCAGAAGACACGATCTATTGTGAGAGATGATTGTTGCTTAATTAGGTTTAGGTTTAAAGTTTTTTATTATCATTTAAACAAAACAAATTACAAACACAGCAAGGGCCGAAGCAATGCATTATTGGCCCTGGTAGTCAAGAATTTATATAATGTAAATGTTGCTTAATTCGTAAGTGAGTTAGCGATTTTGAGAATTACCATGGGGTCCTGGATTTCTCCCGTGTCACCAAAGTGATTATAATTGACCGTACAAGCCAAATAGGCATATCTGGCCGCTTTATGGGCGCACTTCAAGCAATGTACAATGACGTAAGGAGTTGTGTGAGCATCAATGGACACTTAACGGAATCATTTGAGGTTACATCCGGCCTTAAGCAGGGCTGTTTAACATCTTGTTTGCTCTTCAATCTATATATAAATGACCTTATCGATGATGTAAAATCTCTGAATTCGGGAGTCGACGTCAACGGAGAAAATTTTTCCATCCTTGTCTACGCTGACGATATAGCATTTATAGGCCCAACTGAAGAGGCAGTGCAACGTATGTTGGATGTATTACGCGCATGGTGCTTTAAGTGGAGAATGTCATTAAATACTTCGAAAACGAATGTGGTGCACTTTCGACCAAAGTCCGTACCCCAAACTAACTTCGCATTTAAATTTGATAATCATGACATCAACGTTAAACCATCGTACAAATATCTTGGACTCAGTTTCAACGAACACTTGGATTATTCTCTGATGGCGAAAGCAATAGCTCAATCTGCCAGTCGTGCGTTGGGTCTTCTAACAGCAAAGTATAAGTCCTTTGGAGGCCTCCCTTATAAGTGCTACACGAGATTATACGATTGTCTAGTGCGACCAATACTGGAGTACGGTGCTGAGGTATGGGGACTTAAGCAACATTCCTGCATTAATGCTGTGTTTCACAGAGCATGTAGAATTTTTCTTGGAGTTGGGAAATACACACCAAACCTTGCAGTGAGAGCAGAAATGGGATGGCATTCCCCCTACGAACGGCAGATCCGGTCAGCGACTCGATACAGAGATCGCTGCGAAGCCCTTGAGCGCAATAGGATACCTCGCCGTATTTACAAGTGGAACCAAGATTATGCCTCTCCTAGAACCAAGAACTGGTATTACAACCTGCATCATATTATAACCAATGATCTCTCACTTCCGTTTGATTCTCCACTTGGCCACGTATCTGCCGAACTAGAGGCAATTGTCTTCCAAAGCTGGCAACAAACCATTTGGAACGACGGAAACCGTCCAGCAGGCCAAGGAAATAAGTTAAGAACATACAGAACTTTCAAGCTGGATTTACAACCGGAATTCTACCTAGCATCTCATATTTCCATTCGCGACCGGAAAGCATTAGCCTCTTTGAGATGTGGCGTTGCTCCGCTACGTTTGGAAACGGGGCGTTACGAACGACTGTCAGTTCCAGAGAGACTGTGTTATTTTTGTGATGTTAATGCCATTGAAAATGAACACCATTTCTTGTTAAAATGTCCGTTTTATTCTAGTATCAGAAATGATTTATTTTCCAAGGTTCAGAATAAAATTACAAACTTTCAAAGACTTACTGACGATGAGAAGTTCTATATCTTGATGTCAAATCATGAGATTGCTGTTTATGTTGCAAAGGCCTGTGGCCAAATGTTTAAAAAAAGAGAACATAAACTGTACAGTTAATTTTGATGAATATCGTTTTATACATAGTGTCTTATAGGCCGAACACGGCCTGGGGTAAGAATATTGAATGCTTTTAATACGTTTGAATTTTATTACCATTTGTATTTAAGCTACATGTTTGTATTAATATATGCCCAGGACACTTTAATAAATTTTACAAATACAAATACAAATACAAATATAAACCAATCAGAACACACCGATGATTAAATTCACATGACACACAATTTGACGAACTCGATCCGACTCACATCGAACATTCATCATCGAATGAATACATATTTTCAAACCTCAGATAATAATTTCAAACATATACAAGTATAATCTATGCTGTTTTGCTAATGAATGTTTAATCAGATGTATATAGACATATACATTGATATTTGTTAATGCTAATAAGTATGCATACCAATAGTTCTGTTTAACATCGTTTTATATTAATCACAATTAATTCGCTGCGACATCTGACACGATGGACGCAATTTTCGTAGCTGTTTTGGGGTCTTTCTTAATTGTAGGGGATTTTGCAACATCTGTGACGGCCCAAGTAGATGATAAGTGTACGAAGTCGGACACACAAAAACAGTTTAAAGCGATGTCTGATCATATTAGAAAATCATTTGGTGCGCTTGATACAATTAAGAAGGGAATTGAGTCTTTAATCAGCAGTCAAACAAACATGAAGAGTATGATTCAATGTATCGAAGCAACAATGAGAGGTAAGGCAAGATGTATACTTGCAGCATTTAAAGGCCAATTGAAATAGCTTTTCGGTTTTCTGTATTGTAAGCTCAACGCTGAGCTTGACGTAACCCTTATAAAAGAAATGTTAAATAGCTGTTAATAGTCATAATAATAATATAATAAATTAATGGATCAATCAGATTCACTGGCGGATTAGGGGGGGCTGGGCCTTTTAAGGCCTTATTTTTTAATTTCAGGACAAATTTTGAAGAAAATGGGCCTCAAAATTTCAAAATTTGGGCCAACTTTTGGGTTTTAGGGGCCCAAAAATTTTTTCCGCGCAAGCACGGATGTTTTTTTCTCAGATTTGAAATTTGGCCCCCCCCCCTTGTTGATTCCCAGATCCGCCCCTGAGATTGGCTCCCACCTGATCAGTAACCTCGAATACATAATTTTGTTTTGGTTAATTGGTTCCTTGGTAATCACGAAGTCACGGCAACAGCAGGATTGTCCTGTTAACAAATAACAAAACCTCTTCGAATTATGACCTCATGATTCAATGGACCAAAACGGGCCACGTGGGGACCAGTGAAAAGTCGCATGGGGGAGGGGCGAAAAACGTCTCAAAACATTGAAATGTTGCTTATTAAATAGCTACCACGTGTATTAAAATGAAACAGTTGCCATATTACTGATTAGATAACATGTAGCAATACATAATTATATTATCAAATAATATTGATTCCTTTAGGTTTAAATCACTATTTCAGTTGTCCATACATATTTCATTAATCTAGATATTAATTAAGCTTTCAAACGATGTATCATACATGGTTTCATCGGAAATAATGAATTATGGAGTCACATATACTGAGACATAATTTTCTCTATTTTACCTTGAAAAGTCTTAACACTGAGCCAAAAGTTCCTCATTCTTGAATTAGAAGCAAAATGAAATATTTGTTTTCTTAGTAGCACTGATAGGGTTAAGGAGTGACCAGACACTATATAACAGCAATTTGATCGAATTTCAAAAGTTGCTCTATGTTCATAGAATATGAATTTCTTCATTGATAATGGCATCAAGGTGCGGTAACTCACTTTTTAGTGATTTTGATAATTATCATTTATCGATAATTTCTATCAAATAGCGATAAATTTGATGTATATCAATTTTATCTAATATTATCAGCTATTGCTAATTTCATGTACCCTTCACTTTTATTAATTAGCGATAAAGATAATTATCATTTATCAATGACTTTTATCAATTATCGATAATTTTTATCAATGAGCGATAAAGAGATATCAATTATCGATAAATTTGATAATGTTGATACATGGCACACATGAAATTAGCATTAGGTGATAATATTAGATTTTGATAATTATCAAATTTACCTGATATTATCAGCTAATGCTAATTTCACGTATGCCTTTTTCTCCGTGACATTGACTCCAGACCCAAAATATTTTAGCGATAAAGCGATAGAAATCAAAATTATCAAAAGCTGATATTATCAGTTAATGATAATTTGACTTGTGCCCTTTTCTTCGTAACATTGACTCCAGACCCAACATTCTTTAGCGATAAAAGCGATAGCCGCTTGATAATTATCAAATTTAGCCAATATTATAAGCTAATTCTAATTCAACTTGTGGCCTTTTCTTCTTAAAACTGACTCCAGACCCAAAATCTTTTTAGCGATAAAAGCGATGGTTTTGATAATTATCAAATTTAGCTGATATTATCAGCTAATGCTAATTTTTATATTCATTTTCGGCATAGCTGTTTGGTCATTTCAGAACCAACCAAAAGTATTAAAATGGCTTGTATCCAAACTGGAAAATGGAAAGAGAGACGGTTAAATTGCACGAGTAAGTATAAGCACTGTGATAAATATAGAGAATATTTTACTTTAACTTTTATTGTATAGGGTATTATCAACTTTACAAAATGTTATGCCTTATTAGTTATGCTTGTTTGTTTGTTAGTTGCCTAATTCAATGAAATACGACGGAGATTTTAACATTTCTAGATAAATGTTGTTTCAGTACAGAATAGGAAAATCAATCTAATAAACGAGTATCAGTATGGATCAACTTTAGGATTTAAGCCCTGGACTCAGTGCATCGTGGTCCTGGACTCTAAACATTACCCCAAGTTCTTCAAACGTCGACTGCTAAGTTTAGGAAACAACGAGTGGATTGAATCAGCTATTGGGCTAAAATTATTTTCACATTTTGCAAAATATTTTATGCGATATCACTTAAAAGAACATATTTTCAAGGGAACTTTTTGCAAGGATCAAGTTGTCGTCTTTGCATCTCAATTTAATTTCACTCTTTAGATAGATGTTCCAGATTGTGTGCATTCTCCCTATGAATATTATATTAATAATTTATATATCCAGATATTCTATCAATTTGAGCCACATCATTCTTAAATAGAAAACATTTCCCTACTACTTTGAATTGCAACGTCTCCATTTTGATGTGCCTCTCCCCAACGACTGTTGGTGTGGTCTCATATATACTTATTTATATATTTACGCTATTATTATATTCAATTTATGTTTAATCAGCAGTATATACACCCATCTAGGGTGTCTTCTGTAAACAATTTGTATGTTAATTTATTGCTATATGAAGGAGATAAGAAATAAATAAAATAAAAATAAATAAAAGTTGGGGTTGAATATAGAAGGGGCGAGGGAGTGATTAGAACAGTCAACTTGACAGCCAACTCGAAATTTTGAAATTGATGTAAAAATGACCTTGGTTGGTTGTTGGTTATATAACGCAATGCAGTTATATGAAACAATGTGTTCTGATTGGTCTTTTCTGCCCCTAGCCTTGACACGGTGCATTGGGTGTTGTTTTAAACTTTGCACGTAGCATCGAGTTCTAAGCCACAATGCATTGAATCTTTGGCTTCAATTTTCATACATTGCAAAATAGTCTATGACTTAAAAGAATATATTTCAAGGAAACATTTTACAAGGATCAAATTGTCACTTCAACAATAATTCATCACTTACCACTTGACCTGCATACGCACTTGGCTTGTTATTCCCTCTGGTGCTATTTATAGATTTTTACTCAACTATGAAATTGATCAGTTTATCGGTTTCATTAGTTTCACTAGAAATTGATAAAATCGTGGCCATTAGGAATAGACCATTGAAAAGCATAATACAAAGACGTTGAACAAGTTTCAATTGTGCTAAATATGATTTAGAAACCACTTATGAATGACTGGGTTAATAACATTTGTTTAAGTTACCTTTTTGGCGCTCCTTGCTCATTAGAGAATACCATATTCACTTACTTTGCTCTCTAGGAAATAAAAACAAATGCGTCGATCTGGCTGTACCTAAAAACGCCAGGGTGGTAGCTGGTCGCCTGTCAGACAACAGAGTAGGGGATTCCATGGTCTTCGAATGTGAGGAAAGTTACACAGCATTTGGCAGTAAGACAGTCAGATGTCTGAAAGGTGGCAGATGGAGTGATCCACCAGTACAATGCAAAGGTGATTGTTCTTATTTATTATTTAACATCAAAATATGCAATGCATGGTATACAAATGATATCTTATTATTAATTTTATTTATTGTTATGAATTTATTAATTTTTAAATTTATTTATATTGATATTTTGTATGATATTTATTTTAATACAATTAAGACATTAAATGTTGTGAAGCAACAAATAGCTGAACTGCTGACTTGCGGTATATTGTTGTATTAAGATTTTAATATCACTCGAAAATAAACTCTTCAAAATTGTCTCAAACAATTGTAAAAATCGTGACGATTTGATTAAGATTTAACTTGTTATTATTTACAGCCAGTGGCCAATGCCCTGACATTTTCCCAGGTGATACCCCAGGTTTAATATTACTAACGGGCAAGCCAAGTAATAATGTACAGAATGACCTAGTTGCTTTTACGTGTGAACCTGGTTTAGTCCTGATGGGACAACCTCGGATCACGTGTATGTCCAAAGCTGTATGGACACAGAACACGCCGAAATGCATAAGTAAGAATATCAACATTGCTCGAAATGAATGCAATTCTGAACAAAATACTCAATCGTACAGGCGCCGGCCGATGAATCTCGAAGCTTGTGTAATGCCTGGGTCACATATACTCCGATCCATCGGCCGGCGCCCGGCCGATTGAGTGTTTTGTTCAATGTTGTATTCAATTTTGAACAAAATACTCAATCGGCCGGGCGCCGTAGTGAAAATCGGAGCCTATGTGACCAAGGCATAATGCCTGGGTCACATATGCTCCGATCCATCGGCCGGCGCCCGGCCGATTGAGTGTTTTGTTCAATATTGTATTCAATTTTGAACAAAATACTCAATCGGCCGGGCGCCGTAGTGAAAATCGGAGCAAATGTGACCACGGCATTAGCTAGGCTTTAGTAACAACATGAAAACATTGTTCACCTCTTTTCTCTGACTATACACCATATTTCTAGAGTTTGCCTTCACCGCCGTTGGTTGGCATTCTCATACTCATCACCTTCAACTAGAAATATGCTTCAAGAAAGAAGCTAATAGAAGGCGGGCCATGGTTAGTTGATAAGTTACACCAAACTCATAAGCATTGCTGACAAGATATGCGTAATGTTCACAGATTTTTCTCCTTCTAGAAATGAGTTTAACAGAGTGTCCGGCTTTGAGTGTTCCTGAAAATGGCTACATCACAAACGGCAAACTGTCAAGCAACACAATTGGTGATTCAGTAACGTTTGCGTGTGATCCGGGGTATACACTCGATGGAACTCCGACATTGACATGTTTTAAACGAAGTACTCTTGCCCCTCCTTGGCTTCCTTGGAATGATACTGATGGATTGGTATGGGATATGACCATGCCTGTTTGTAGATGTAAATACCATCTCTTTTTGAATATAAGCATGCGCGCTAGAAGGGAAAATAACAGATAATTACGAATCCAACTAAGATAAGTATAAACAATATCATACACAGCACGCAACACTTTGTCATACACAAAACCATTTGAATTTGTCCAATTTTGTATAACTTTGCAAATAGTCTTTGGAGTAACTCAAAAATACGTTTAAAAACATACCAACAAATCATTTTGAACATTACTCGTAGATCTTGTTGAATCTGTCTTCTTACTATAAAGCACTGCAGTCTACATCTGTCCGTCCGTCCATCCATCCGTCCGTCGTCCATCCGCCTGCCAACCCGCTCGCCCACCTGCCTGCCTGACCGTTTGACCTTGGGCCCTCATACTTGGTCAACAAACTAAGTGGGTCAATGGGCATTATACGAAGGTCAGAGGTCAAGGTCACTCGAAGGTAAAAGTCAATATCTAGGCATTTGACTGTTAAGACCCTTGGTCTGTGACCCTTGACGACCCATGATTAGGTGATCTGAGGTCAAGATCAACTTTATGGGTCAGGGCAATTTCATGTCAAAGATCAATATCTTGGTATTTGACGTTTTAATGCATTTGGGGCTGTTTGACCCTTGGCGACCCATGATTAGGTGACCTGAGGTCAAGGTCATTAATTCCTAGGTCAAAGGTCTAGGCATTTTGTGATTTAAAGCATTTGAGCCTGTTGTGACCCTTGAGACCAATGATTATGTGACATCGGGGTCAATGTTTATGGGTCATCTCAAGGTCAAAGGTCAATATCTAAGTATTTGGCGTTTAAAGGACCTTGGGGGCTAATGTGCCCCTTGGCGACCCATTATTAGGTGACCTGAGTTCATGATCATTCCAATGTCAAAGGTCGATATTTAGGTATTTGGCGTTTTAAGACCCTGGGGCTACTGTGAGCAATGATTAGGTGACCTAGGGTCAAGGTCAACGTTTATGGGTCAATGTCATCCCAAGGTCGAAGGTCAAGTGTTTGACGTTTTAAGGACCTTGAAGGATACTGAAACCCTTGGCGACTCATAATCAGGTGATTTTATGTCACAGTCAGTGTTTATGGACCAAGTTCATCTCAATGTCAATGGTGAATATTTAGAATTCAAGAATCAGTCAAGGTCAAACGATTAATTTACAGGTATTTAGCATTTTATTGAGGCTGCTGTCATGTAAGGCTACTGTGACCCTTGGTTACCAACTCGAACGGGTAGAATTGGCAATTTAAATAATGGAAAGATTGTGATTTAGCTAAGATTTGCCTTTATTGTAGTGTCAAATACAGGGGACTGCCCGGACCTTGTTTTGCCAAAATATGGAAGGTTGGTTGGCAGTGGACGTCTCACCGGAAACAACGTGGGTGATCGAATTGTTGGTGCATGCATGAAGCAATATGTAAGAGAAGGGAAACGAGTACTCGAATGCCTGCCAGATGGAAATTGGAACACAGATATGTTCAAGTGCTCTGGTATACACTATATAATATTTAATTAAAGCTGCTAGACACAAACCTTTCGATCGAGAATTTTCGATCCTTAATCGGAAAGTAGGCATGGGCAATGTCTCCTAATCCGACAAACCAACGGAGAATTCTCAATTTCAGTGGTCGGAAAAGTTATTTCATTTCGAGGTGGAAAATGTCATGCATTCTTCTGTGCTTTACCTATACACATTTTGATGACGTCACTGAGCGGTAGATTCCTCTCAGCTCTAAAATGTAATCAATATTTATATTACGGGATTAAAGGACATAGCAAAGCCATCCCAAGAATCGGGTAGGGAAAGGGAGAAGAAAAGCAAAGACGCTGCTACAAGCAAGCTATTCATTGTGATAACATGGCTAGAATTATAAGTCACATGATTAGGCAGTACATTTTTGGAAATTTCCCCTTCCCTTTCTTTTTAGGCATACAATAAGCAGGTATTTTATCCTAGAAGTAGGGCTCTTAAATATTGACCTATCACACATAGGCATTACTGTAGATGTATACCCGGTTATTGATCAAGTTACTCAAATTTGGGATATAAAGGTCCAAATACTGTCACTGTTACCTAGCAACTTTAAAGAGGCTCTATGCCATAGGAAAGCACAATCATGACCCCTCTAGACCTTTTTGCATATTCAGTTTCACCATATATTCACCCATCTACTTACCAACGAAGAAGTCCCAAATCCCCCGTGTTAAAGGTCGAGTGCCCGGAAATATTAACACAATCGAACATGTCTTGAACAACTAATATACATACTTTTTGTGGCTTGGTTGAACGGCTATTAATCCCAAGTTCCGATGTGTCTCATCAAGAAAACGATACAGTGACAAAGATTATGTCAAGCGGAGTTTATAATTTTTGTGCAAATGGTGCAGACCGATCTAGTTATTCATTTCCGAACTCCCGTGCAGTGATATATCACTGCGGCGGGCAGGTATCTCACCGTAAGCATGGTAACTTCGTAATAAACAACTGATGTGATTGGCTCTAGACTCTAGTCGGCATGCTCAGGTCGCGTGATTGTAAAATTTAGACAATTTCATTGGTTGAATTGCGCGTATTAACTAATAAACAACACGTGCGGCAAACTTATCAACACAACTTTTACTCAGAATTCCTTCCGCGGTGATTTCTTCTTATATTTCAATAATTTTGAAATATTTTGACAAAATAATGTTTGGGGAACATTCATGAATACATATTTTATAAGTTGTGTGAAAATTGACCACATATATGATGAAAAGGGGAACTATTTTCCCCAAATTTGGGGGATTTTCTTCATCTGCCCGCCGCAGTGTCTATACCGAGACACTGCATGGGAGTTCGGTTATTTTCGCGGAAATTAATTCAATCTGAAGTTAATATACCGGGAAAATCCACCTCTTATCTGATTGGTCATTGAATTTGATAGGGATTCCCCTAGCTACTCGAGGATTCGATTGTGTTTAATTCTGGAGGTTGGTTGTTCTGTTGATTATTTCAATATTTCGGCAATACTATGTCCCATAAGTTATTCTCAAGATATATCCATGGTACACTACTACACTCCCCTCCATAAGTTTGGCAACCTTTTTTCTCGATTGAACTACGTGTTAAAGCCTCTTTACATTTTTATTTTTATTTACTTAACCGGCGATGAATTAACTTATGATATTGATGGAAACGTAACTTGACTTTATTTCCAATACCTCCAAATTTTCTCAATTTTTTTCCTCAATTATAACAGGTCAAAAATTGATGATAAATTTGATGATTTTTTGAAAATCGTCATTCTCATGGAATCCAATGGGAAATGGAGGATTCGGGGCAAATCAGAAATCAGGATATCTTTTCAGTAAAAGATTCAGCAAAAAATATTTTTATATAGAAAATTGAATTGTCTAACTTTTTTGAACACTAAGTGTTTAGTTTATTTGATCAATATTAAAGTAACAGCGCTTCAAAGTCATTTTTGAAAATTATTTTTCGCCTCCTGTGTTATTTCAATGGGAGAGGTTTTTTGAAAAACAATTTTGACTTTAAAGCCCTATAACTTTGTTGAACCTGAAGAAACATATCAATTTATTGTTAAATAAAGTTAGCAAATTCAATTACCTGCCTAACTCGTATTTTTTGCAAGGACTCGGATGGATGGATATTCTGTCATATGACTTGCGGCAAACCTACCATTTCCCATTGGTTAACATGGGAATGTAGATTTTCAAAAATTTATCAAATTCATCACAATTTTGCTACCTATTGTAATTGAGGAAAAAAATTGAGAAAATTTGGAGGTATTGGAATTAAAGTCAAATTACGTTTCCATCAATAGTATAAGTATTTTCATCGCAGGTTAAAGGTGCAACAATTAGTGCAGAGGGGCCATTCAACGATCATGGACCAGTGTCAAAATATATTTAAGTTTGGATATTTCATCAAGACTAACATCTATTTTTATTATCCACAAAAAAACCCACTAGATAAACATTATTTCAGCATATATTCCTCTTAAAACATGGTGGATCTTAAAAATATAAAAGCGGATTTCCCCTTTTTGAAGCTTTGAACTGAATTTACACTTCTTAATGCTGAAATTGATAGTTTATACATACATTTTAAGAAAATAGGTCTGTCAAAGAAGATGTTCAGCCAAATGTTGCCTTGATAGCTCATAAAAAGTTAAAATTTTCCTATTTTCTCTCTACAGGCCTTGTTGCCCCTTTAAGTAAATAAAAATTCAAAGGTAAAGAGGCTTTAACACGTAGTTCAATGGGGGAAAAAGGTTGCCAAACTTATGGAGGGGAGTGTATGTGAAATATTACATGAGCACTAATAATGGAACATCATTGATTGTCTGGGCGAGAAACCTATGGTATACTGCATCTTTAATTATTCCGTCCAAAACAGTCTAACGTTATGCAACAGTCACGAGGTTTAAAATATGATTGAAATAATCAAGAAAAAAGTCAATTGAGTACACCCATTTTTATCAAAATATGATGGTAATTTTTTATTGTTCGTCTTTTTGCAGAAGTTAATGTTACGTGTTCTACCATTAATCTGGATACGAACAGCAAATTGGTCGTCCTTCGCGGACAACTATCTGGTAATAAAAAAGCTGATAACATTATCTTTGGCTGTCAGTCAGGCTACGCTATTCTTGACAAATATTGGATGGTCTGTCAAGAGACTGGCAAATGGGCTCAGCCACTTCCTGATTGCAAAGGTATTTAAAACTTTCATTATTGTTTTTCTGTAAAAACCGGATGGCGGACAGGGGCCGGTCCTGGAAATCAAGAGGTAGGGGTTTCCAAAACTTTGAAATGATCCCCCAAATTTCTTAATATTATGCCCAAGATTAAAATGTGATGCCCAGTAATGTCAGTTTGTTATCTACATTGCCAAGTTGGTGTGGGGGAGCCAATTGTTTCACAGCCCATGCCCATAACCGCCACTGCGGGGTGATATGTGACTTTATAGCTTTAGCCCTACTAGGAGTACCCTACTCCTACCCAGTTACCCGGATTATCACATAAACCCTTTTTATATCATGAGCAAATGTTTCTATTTCTATTTATCATTGGAAAAGTATTTAGAAATTGTGTAATGGTATCAAAATTAGAAAATATGATATGAAGAAAATTGATAACAGTTTCTTCGGTGCACCATTGGGATAAAATGAGAAATGTAATAGTATAGCAAACCAATTGTTTTAGAAACTGGCTGTTCGTCTTCAGAGACTGTTCTGGAACATGGTAGAGTGGAAGGTATTATTGAATCTGGTAGATATTCTGATGGGGCAAAAGTAAGTTACGAATGTGATACATGTTATCAACTAATTGGAGCGGCCAGTCGAACCTGTCTGACAGGGTTATGGTCCCCATTACACCCTCCTAGCTGCATTCGTAAGTATATTATAGCACGAATCAGATCATAGTACCAATCAAACATATATATACATGGCATATGACCTGGACATCTCAAGGGGATAAGTTGTCCGAAACCCAGTTGTCCGAAACCCAGTAGTCCGAAACCCAGTTGTCCGAAACCCATTACTCCGAAAAATATAGTCATACTTTACCAGAGAAAGGGGGGACGTACTAAGCTTAGGCCAGTTTCATGCCATGTATTTGGCCAAATTAATGGGATGGACGCATTTTGATGTTCATAGATCTCTCCCCCTCACTTTGAATTACATTCATTACGGCGTTACCAGAATGGCAGGAACGGGGGATTTATTTTACATTGTGATTCTAAAAAAAGGTTATTAAAACACAATATATATTACGGAACAGTTTATCTTATCTTCTCAAATCTCTTTTATATAGGCAAAATAAAATGAAACATTTTGAAACAGATAAAATAAGTTAACGCATAGAACTTTAAGAATAAAACAGTATACATATTACGTTGTCAAAATATTCGCATTTAATTTCTTAGTCTCCGTTTCTTATCAAATCGTAAAAGAACAAAACATTCTAAACTTAATCACTTGGGATTTATTTTTCGGCATTCGTTTCCGGCATTTGTTTTTTATGTTCTTCTCCTGAAATGTATTTGTTTGACAATAATCAGAGAAAGAGCGTAAAACGTATAAATTTGCGTTGCATATTCTGTCACGCAAACAAACGGGTGTGACTTCAATTTCTTGTCTGTCTGAGGACGTATGGGGAACGAGGTAGAATTAAAGAATTCTTATGAACGAGTCATGCAAGATACTAGAACTATAGTAAAGTAATGTATGGGATAAGTTAATTTCTGGTGGATCTGGATAAAATATGTTTCAAAACTTTGTCAACAATAGATAACTACATTTAGGCAGATATAGTATCTTCATATATTTGGCTATCATGCGTTTAAAATACGTTCCTAAAACTATGAAGACGTTAGGTGAGAAATTGCTATTGTACGTTCGAAAAGTATTTGGTTTTATAGTTCTCAAGTTACCCATGAACTTTCGTAGGCTAAACATTAAATAATTAACGTCTTGACTAAGCATATTTAGCCTAATTTTGCAATGATGTCAACGTGATTCCAATGTTATGTTGTCGTGATTCGCAGAGGTTGCGACAAGATTTGTTTTAAGAAACTGTATTTTTTAGATAAGATCCCCTAATTTTCGGAGAACTGGGTTTCGGAGAATTGGGTTTCGGACAACTGGGTTGACCCCATTATGGGTATGAAATGTATGTATTTTTAAAGTGTAGCTTTTAATTGTGTCAACAATGTTGAAGTCATTTAATTTTCAGTTCTATTTCAGATAACTTCACCTTTAACGTGAAAGCTATTTTTCAGAAAGTTTGTTCTATATTGAATTAAAATTGCTTAAAATGCCACTTGTGGTGGTGATTAGACTTTAAAAACAGCTTTTTTAATTTCAAGATCTGTTCATCCACAGTTTTAGCTGAAGACGTTTTATCAAAGACTATGATCTAAATAGTTGTGCTATTTTACTTTTAGTTCGCACGTGCACCGGAATCAGATCCCTTCAACATGGGTCAATATTTCCAAATAAAGAGACGGTCGCATGCGGAACATCAGTCACTATACAGTGTAACAGGGGATTTGTCATAAAAGGAGAAAACAGACGATCAAAAGAGATACACTGCGAGACTAGTGGATGGAATCCTAGAGATATACCTATATGCATTCCTGGCCGTAGCCAGACATGAACCAGGCGAGGCGCAAACAATTTTCAGAAAATATCACATACAAAATAAATGAGCGTAGCAGCTAGGCAAGAGGAAAAAACATAATTTAGGAAATCTCATGTTTGAATAATAGAAAATGAAATTAAATCAAATTGCCTTGATTTATATGAAAATAGATCCAATAAAGTCAATGAACAATGTAAGATTTATGTGTTTTCTTTAAATGCTCAATGAGAAATGCTCTCTGAAAGTCCTTTGCACTTTTGACGCATAGTGAAATAGATAAAGATCGTCTTTTGTTCTACCGCTTTACAATTGTATTTTAAATAAATTAGAAAATCTTTCACCCGAGATATTGCATGCCACTCAAAATTCAAATGGGGATTTTTGAAAATTCCTGATTCCAAAAATGTTAGCTAAGACATCATTCGCATTTGATGGAAGCATATGTAAGTACTAAATTGAAGACACTCGTTTTCCTTTACACCTAAAATTGATAAACTAGACGCGATGACGTCATACTTCTTACTTGAAAATTTGAAGAAAGGTTATGGATAATTCTTCTAAAATTGTGTTTTTAGCTCAATGTTTTAGATAGGATTTTATGCGAATGTTGTTATATTTAATATTTATGTATACATACATGTTCTATATGTTTACCTTACATTAGCGAACCCATATGGTTTCCAAATTGATTATTTCTAGGGAATCACCACTGGCGTTTTAGCTCATCAAACCGTTTTAGCTTACGTCGTCTGCGATGGATAGAAATCTGTAATAATAGAAAGTTTCATCGTGGACTTTTTGAGAAAGGGACACTTTGGTTAAGCCATGTTGATAGTGGTTTATAATGGCAGCCAATGGAGATTTTCCAAAATCCAAACGCCAATATCTTTGGAACTAGGCAAAAGAAAAAAAACTTATTTTGAAAAGGGTGTCTTCAAAACTAAGACCTAAGACCTACAAAACTAAGACCCCCCACGTAATAAAACTAAGGCCCTGTTATAAAACTAAGACCCCCCACGTTATAAAACTAAGACCCCCCACGTTATAAAACTAAGACCCTATTATAAAACTAAGACCCCCCACGTTATAAAACTAAGACCCCCCACGTTATAAAACTAAGACCCTATTATAAAACTAAGACCCCCCACGTTATAAAACTAAGACCCTGTTATAAAACTAAGACCCCCATGTTATAAAACTAAGACCCTATTATAAAACTAAGACCCCCCACGTTATAAAACTAAGACCCTGTTATAAAACTAAGACCCCCCACGTAATAAAACTAAGACCCTGTTATAAAACTAAGACCCCCCACGTTATAAAACTAAGACCCTGTTATAAAACTAAGACCCCCCACGTTATAAAACTAAGACCCCCACGTTATAAAACTAAGACCCTATTATAAAACTAAGACCCCCCACGTTATAAAACTAAGACCCTATTATAAAACTAAGACCCCCACGTTATAAAACTAAGACCCTGTTATGAAACTAAGACCCCCCCACGTTATAAAACTAAGACCCTGTTATAAAACTAAGACCCCCCACGTTATAAAACTAAGACCCTATTATAAAACTAAGACTTAGTTTTATAACGTGGGGGGTCTTAGTTTTATAACGTGGGGGTCTTAGTTTTATTACGTGGGGGGTCTTAGTTTTGTAGGTCTTAGGTCTTAGTTTTGTAGACACCCATTTTGAAAATCATCATGTTATTGTGACCTACTTGGATATATTACGGGCTTCATCATTTAAGAACTGTTCTGCAGGGGGTCTTTTAAAGATTGAATATAGTTTTTTTTATTAAACTTAACGGCTAAATAAATTAAAAATGAGAAATTTTTAGAAATGTGCCTGTTTGATTTTTTGAATCCTAATATATAGAAATCTTCAATACAAGAACATTTCAAAGTGGACTTTTGAGAAAAGGACACTTTAGTAAAGCCATATTGATAGTGGTTTATAATGGCAGCCAATGGGGATTTTTCAAAATTCAAACTCCAATATCTTTGGAACTAGGTAAAACAAACAAAAGTTTGGCAGAACTATATACCAAATATGAACAAACTCAGTCGACTAGTATTCTATATACTATAAGACACACAGGCGGACAACATCACGATATACCTACCGAATCACATTCGTTCATTCGTGTGATTATTACCGAAGAAGATCAAAAATAAAATCACATACATTTTAAATACTGTTTATTGTCTCCGTCTATGCAATGTACAAATAAAACTAAAGCATTAACATAATAATACGTAATGTACAATATAAATTAACGATAAATACTTTACAAAGTTACTTGTTCCTATACAATCATATTTTTGCAATCAAATTAGTAAAAGTACAATTTATACAGCTAATAGAAGTATTTATAATTATTGTACATGCACTACTCACTTTATTCATTTATGACATTTCCATACAGTATACAATACATTGTACAATATCCTGTACATGTTAAATTATACAATATATTGCATAGCATAGTCAAGTGTACACTGTGTTGTGTAAGTTAGTCATAAATATTGTTTATAACTGTATATAATTTTATATACATAATATTATCTACTGCAAAATTTATTTGTGTTAATTGCTTTTAATTGATTCGTTAAAATCAGACTCTACATTACTGCGATTAGCATGTTTATCACATGTTAATATGCTCATAATTATCACATGTTAATATGTTCATAA